AAAACAAAAAAATCCCACCCACCCCTCTGATTCTCATATGGTCACTTGACTCTAGGAGCCAGGGCTTTAAGAAACGACATACGTATCAGAAGACTCAGGATAACACCATGAAAATTGGCATCCCTTGGAAAGTTGCTTCCCACCCCCTCTAACTAGGCAGGATCCCTAGCACCCCCACACTGGCTGGCTAAATGCTGAGCCAGGTCCCTCTATCTTCAGGGAATCCAGCAGGTTGCCCCCATGTGTGGCGTACTCTGTTGCCTGTGCACACAGCAGCACCCCCTCGTGGTACTCTTGGGGACGCCATGGAAACAGCCTCACCCTGCGCTGTCAGATCTAGACATCAGACTCGATTTTAGGGGAGAGGAAGCTAATTGCCTCCCACTGTCTCCAAAACCTGCAGGGTCCTGACGTGTGTGTCCTCATGGAGCAGCTCCACGCCCCCTAATGCTGAGCAGGTTGGAGTCTAAACAGAGACTCGCCCGAGGGATTCGCTCCTGGACAGAGATAGGCCCCAGGCAAACCAGCTGTGTGGAGTGGATGCTACTCTCCAAACGATCGCTCTGCCTAGGGCCTGGCTAACCAGGAGTTGGGGCTATACCAAGCCATGGCTTTCTGGACGGTGGAGTTGGGCTCTTCCGGCAGCTGCCTGCATGGGAAGGGCAATCAATCAGTGCTAAGGTCCAGAGTCATTACAGTTCTGGGAACACAAACAATGAGGTCAGCATTCTGGGAAGCAGCAATGAATCAAACACACAGACACGCCTCTAACTGAGCCCTGAATCAGATACTAAATCACCCAAGTCTAAAGGGCAGGGGGCTGGGTTGGGGAGTCTCAGGGCAGCCAGTCAAAAGGGCCAGCGTGTGGGAGGATGGTGAGTCAGCATGCTGCTTGTTCCAGGAGGGTTTAGCCTAAGGTGCCCCAACCCTTTGCAGACACTCGTGAAGCCCCCGTGGGAAGAAGGTTAATAGGAGAGGGTCCATTTCAAAGACAGGAGGGAAACGAGACATTGGGAGACTATGAGTTAAAATTTCTAAGTAGTCACTGTCTTTAGAGAGGCCAGATGCAGACAGCTTGGGCAGAGCACTCAGGATGTTAGCAGCCCACCCAGGCCAGATTTTCACAAGTGCTTTCTCCCAGCCCTGCCCCACTAGGAATATTTAGTTGCCTATAGGAGAGTTACTGGGTGCTCAGCTCTTTTGAAAATCTGGCTGATGAGTAAATGCGCCTGGAAGCATCTGAATTCATGCAAAACTTCATTCCAGGTCAAAGCTCCAGTCCACAGAGCCTGCTGCACCTGGCCTGCCGCATGTCCTAGCCTGCCGTCCCAAATCAGACCCCCGGCCCATCGCCGTCCTGCATCCAGAAAGAGGTCACATTCCACTTCTAAAGAAGAGTGGGAAGGGGGGTGATCTCTCCCTAACGCACCTCGTTAATGACCGAATGCTTTCTCGATTTTTTATTCTAGACTTAACTCTGCTGAGTGAAAGCCAATTGCCCTCAGCTGTGTGATAAACCAGCCTGCAGCCAGATCTCTAGCACCATGCTGAAAACAGGTCCCCTCTGGCCCCCAGGGGTTTGAGTCTCTGTGCCCTGCACCTTGTGTTGTCATTTACACCAGTGAGAAGTGGGAATACAAGGCAATCATTCTGAGCAAACAGCGTGTTACACCCACCATGCACTGCTGGAAACGATGGGTGCCCAAGGTGCAGGGCAACCAGGAATCTGGCTCCATCAGCACAGTCCTAATTTGCCCCCAGAGCCCACTGAGCATGCGCCCGCTCATGTGAGCAGCCGAGCGTTTCCTGCACACAGGTCGCTGCTTCTGGGCCTCTGTGGCTGTTCTGTAACAAAGTGGACAGAGAGCTGGAAGGGCCCAAACAGGCATGGTGCCTGCCCAGCAAGTGCCAAGGTGAGCGGGAGGAGGTGGGGCTAGGAAAGCACAAAGCTCTTTGGGTGGCTTTGTTACCGTGGAAAGGAGTTTAGATTAGAGCCCCAGGAGCCTGACAAGTGCGAGGGGCTTTTAGCACATCTGTAGCTGAGGATCTCAAAGCACTTTACAAACACCAAGGTCTTTTCAGGAGCCTTAGCCCCACGTGAGTCTGAGGGGAGAAGTAAAGGTGACTTTGCACTGCCCAAATCCTGTCCGGTCCAGGGTCCAGTTTTGCTCTGAGGAGAAGTTCAAGCAAGCAGCCCCTAGGAGCACAAACTTACAAGCATTTCCCATAGCACCCTACAGGCCGTCCATACCCCAGAACAACAGGAGCACAGAATGCTCCAGCCACACACCCTACTGCGCTCCCCTACCCTGGGTATTGTGAGGTCAGAGGGAGGTTTGGGGTGTGAGTGAGTGAGAGAAGGGAAGATGCAGCTAGCCACATGCCAGCTGGCCAGGGTTCTGGAAATAGCCAAGACACACTATTGGAGTGAAAAATACTCAACTATTTAAAACCTTGCTTATCGCCCAGCTCAAAAGGTAGCATGGAACGGTTAGTGCCACAGTGGGGCATTCATCCAGAGGGCCAGTATTCAGTGATGCTCTCACAGCCCTCAGAGGCAAGGCTCTGGAGGGGAGAAAAAAAACAACCCACAAGGAATTCTCACTACTGAATCACCAATGCTAATTCCTACCTGCCCCTGCATTTCTTAGGCGTCGCCCAGCCGGAGTACTGACCACAGGTGACTGTTCTTAGCATGTGGGAACTCGCATGATCCCAGCATAAGGCCATTCAGATGCAGCGCAATCTCCCACCACAAACTCCCCTCAGGAGGATTCGCCGATAGCTCCGGATCAATACCATAAGAGGGAGGCAGGATGACTGAACTAGCTCTTTGCCATCATGCACTGGGGTACAATTCCTTCCAGATCAATTCTCTGCATGGCAGAAAGACAATATCAGGATCTAGATTCTATGGCCTGCGTTTCAGAGACTGCTAAGGGACAGGATTGGTACAGCGGAAGGGGAATAAGGAGCAGAGTCGACCACCAGTTGTTAAGAGCTGCCTGGACTGCACCATTCCTGAGGGACTGTCCAGCAAACCAACTCCAGCAAAACTCTTAATTTGGGCTCTTGGAAACCAGTTTGCTGGAAAACTGCATAGAAGCTGAGACACCTGTGCTAATATAGAAGGGGCCAGCCAAGTCCCCAGTTTGCACCAGGCTCTACGGGTTTCTCAGGGCTTAGTTTGCAATGAAAGAGGTGCTGGGGCTCAAGCAATGTTTTACATTCATAACTGCTGCAGAGGTGCCAGGGTTAGGAACTGTCAAGCCCAGAGGTGCCAGGGGATCAGCCCTGGCACTAATCAAGCACAGGGGTTTCTTGGCATGAAGCCCATTGCCGGGCATAAACTCTGCTGATTCAGGTACCAAATACCTGAGGTTAAATCTCCTCTCTCCCCATCCAATACCGAAGCAACCTGGACATATTAGACTGCTAGATCCAGAGGCAATGGGACGTTCTCTGGGAGAGCTCCGTGTCTCATTCTTGGAGCAGCAGGGCCTGGCTTTGATGGCATTCAGGCACCACCTGCATCCCCCAAGGACAGAGTAGGAAAGGCCACACTAGAGGTGGGGACTATTTGGGATCAGGATGGGATTTCAGCATACCTCTGCTCTTCAGTTTCATGTGAATTTTGCATGAGTTTTAAATCTGTGTCACTGGTGCCCGGGGCAGGAACAGGTGTTAGATTAATACAGCGCAATTTACTTGTTGGGAATGTTGTAAAGGCCAAAACGATAACTGGGTTCACAAAACAACAGATCTGTTCATGGAGAACAGGTCCATCAATGGCTATTGGCCAGGATGGTCAGGGACAAAACCCCATGCTCCAGGTGCCCCTAAACCTCTGTTGGGAGTGGACAACAGGGGTGATGGATCACTTGATAACTGCCCTGTTCTGTTCATTCCCTCTGGGGCACCTGGCATTGGTCACTGTCGGCAGACAGGATACTGGGCTAGATGGACCTTTGGTCTGACCCAGTCTGGTGGTTCTTATGTGCTAGGCAAACATTACATCAAACATTATTGTACAGCTACCCATGCGTTCCCTCCCCAGATTTAGCAAAGAGCTGGCCCTGCAGGAAACCCTCATTTTCCTCTCATCCTTTTGGTCCAGCTCTGCCACAAAGCAGAGATGAGAGGGGCGGCTTGTGAGTGCTGCAGGGGAAAGCAGCGGGTAGACCAAAGCTCCCTGTCCCTTGCAGCTGACTCCTATATCTTCCCATATCCCAAATGTATGGACTGTCTCTCCCTTGTTTCTAAAACCGTGGGCAGCACAGCTCCGTTACCTTCCTTCCTGTCTGTCTGAAAAAGGCACAGCAGCAGTGATTAGGGGAGGGATAGGGAAACTACAGACTTTCCTGCTCTGCCAGCGATGGGAAGAGACAGAGCTCTGGAACTGCAGACAGCAAAGGAGGCCGGTAAGTAGCTCACAGTGATGGTGTGGTCCTGCTCTGGCAAGCTGATCCTACCCTGAGCCCTTGGGCGGCTGACTTTATAAGCTAGTTTAGGTCGCTGTTCCTTAGAGCACAGTGGCATCTTGTGACAAGTGGTGGAATACACAGTAACAGTAAGGGACCTGCAAACATAAGAATGACCAGACTCAGAGACCTGAGGTCCATCTTGCCCAGTGTCCCATCTCCCACCGCAGCCACTACTAGATGCTTCAGAAGAAGGTGCAAGAAATGCTGCAGGGGCAGATCTGGGATAGCCTTCCTTCTCCCCCAGGAAAGTTTCTCCTGAGCTTTCCCCCCACACCCCTCTCATAGTTAGCTAGTGGTTGGCTCATGATCCACAGCAGGAAGATTGAAGTCTTTGGAAGTTCTCACAAGATAGCAGGGGGGAAGCAGGCTTTGGCATTTGAAGCCACTTTGCAATCTCACCCCCCTGCACACATTTATATATAAACCAGACCCCACTCCTGGGCTCGATTCCATAAACAGGAGCATTTTATTGGTTGTGCCCCATGGAGCTGTTGATGGAAAAGTTTCAGATTCAAATTACGGCTCCCCTTCAAAGCTGGTGTCATCGGAAGCATCCCCATCCAAACTGTCCCCTAAGTCTTTATCTAAAATCAAGGCATAGTTGAGGTCATTCTCAAACAAGGGGTTGTGAGCCGCACGCTCAGGCAAGGGCCCTGGGCTATGATGAGAAATCTCCATGGAGTCTCGGCTCAGGGTCCAGAGGAAGGAGTAAATAGCAAGCGCCATGAGGACGAAAGAGGTTAAAAACCCTCCGATGAAGCCAGAAGCCACCGGATTGATCCATTCAAAGAGGCTCCTGTTGTACGGAGGGAGTGGTTTCCTTTCGATGAGGAGGTCGAGGGCACCCCAGCCTTCCTGCATCAATCTGCTCCCCCTGCGGGATTTCCCCCCAGTTCGCCGAGCTCTGCTGTGCTGGTTTGTCTCTCCATGTTTCTCATCCTCCTCCAGCAGGAGCGAGGCGGCCAGATGTTCCACCCCCTTGCGATATTCTTCCACGTTCCGCTTCAGCTCGAGGTTCTTGTCCTGGTTCAAGTTCTTGCCCAGCTCCTGGGAGATGTCAGGGCGCCCAATCCGGCGGAGAGCTCGGGAGAGACGGTCCCAGGGCACCGAATCGCCTTCTGCCCCGAGCCACCGGGTCAGGACATCTCGGCACGGCTCTGCGCGGACGATGTCCCGCCGGCGGCGGGAGCGGAGCGGGTTCTTCGCCTCCGAGAGTCGCTCCAGGGCCTCCTCCGTGTTCTCCTCGGGGCCGGTGATCTGGGTGTAGAACTCACGACATTCCTCCGGGGAAAGCAGCTCGGATATGCGGCCCATCATGTGCACGCCTATGTCATCCGCTGCTGTGTCCTCGCAGAAGCCACAGGTAACCAGCAGGAGGAGTCCGACTCCTATGGTCTCAAACATCACGGGAGGACGGGGCCCAGACCCTGAGCAGAGAGAATATCAGCACAGGCCAAGGAGTTCTGGGCTAGACCCGGGCAGGAGACCGACTCTGCATTCCAACCCCCAACCGGAGATGCCTAAACCGCAGCCCACGTCCACCCGCACAGCAAGGGGGTGGGCTGCCCTGTCATTAGCACACGCACCCAGCACGAGTTCTGCCTGTGGCTCGAGGACTCGAACTCACGTCCCCACCCCGGGCTATAGTCGCTCACACTCGCTCTCTGCCCCAGCGAGCATTCAAGGACGCCCACCAGTGGAAACTAAGGTGGCAACGAGATTAGGCAGCAGCTGAGCAGGGGTTTTGAGCACCTGAATTTTGGATCGAGGCACCTAACTCTTTGCAGATCCAGCCCCTGCACTCCCGAGTTTCACAAAAAACACGATAGAAGAGGGTCAGTGATTAATCATGGGGCCCTTCTATTGGCAAGGTTCGGAGGGTCTTGACAGCCACCCCCCTCCTTGCATGGCCTGCCATGACCACAGCACAAGCTGGTGGGACGGTGCAAATACTGGCCCCGAATGTGCCAGGTGGTCAGGCCCCTGTTCCCTGCTCTGCCAGCATAAAGCGGTGGGCTCCCGGCCAGCAGTGCCCGACACGGGCCCTGGAACTGTGGGCTTGCATTTGTATCCCGGTGTGGGTGGAAATGTAAAGGAGTGGAAGGAGTTACCGGATCCTCTCCCTGCTCAGCTGGTGGGGAACGTGGCTCCGTGTGGAATTTAGAACCTGGAGCGTCAACTGATGTCACACATGGCAGACCCGTTTCTACTCCGCCCCTTCAGTTCTCCGCTTTATCCCCTTGTCCCCCCCGAGGCACCATTCCCGTATGAACTGGGCAATGCAAGCCTCTATGCCCCGGGGTCCTGCTGCCCTCCACACCAAGACGGTTTGCACCATGCGTCGTGCGTTGGAGCCAGTGACCCATTTGGAGACACAGTTTTGCGGGGTGTCTGTAACAAGCCCCCAGACTCAGACGGAGCTCAGCTAACGTCCGCCGAGGATCAGAAAGGTCAGCAAACTTGGAGCAGGGTCTGAAGGCGCTTCCAGTGGCTTTTGGCATGCAAGACCCATGTCCTCATAACAAACAGCTCACTAATTACACAGATTACCCCGTCTTGGGCGGGTCACCTTTCTCCCGTTTCTTCGGGGTCTCAAGCAAAGCAAAACCATGCTGCAGAACAGGCGAATGGGTATGTCCCCAGCTCCCTCCCGGGGGTTACTTCTGGGGCCACCCATTCGTGGAGCTTCCTGCCCATGCATAGCTCTGCCAGCAGAGAGATGCCATTTGCACATTCACACACCCGCTAGTGCTATTCGCTCCACGAGCGGGTTGAAGGGCAGTGGCAGGCTGAAGAGCTCTTCCCTCCGGCCCCGGCCCCGAGCCCACACAGGGGCAGCAGGGAAATGCGGTTCTCCCCTCCAGAGCTGGGAATAAAACACCAAGGAGTCCTCCATCCCTGACCACTGCTCTCAGCACCACACGGCGCTCCTTCCCCAAATTAGGGGGGGGCGCGCGTGCATGTTCCTTTTCAGATCCAAAACTGGTGCAGAACAAAGGGAAGATCTGCAACAGCTGGAGAAAAGCTGCTGGTGAGTGGCACACCTGTGCGTAGTTTAATTATCCTTAGCCTCAAAGTCACAGGGCTTATGCCACAAGGTGGCAACACAGCTCCAGAAAAGAGTTTCTCTGCCTTTACATCCTCCGCACTCCCAGGAGCGGTGTGCTCTACAAAACAAGTGAATTATAGTTCTCACCTGGCCCCTGTGAAGGTCTCCAGCTCAGCACTATCCTTGTCTATCAGCAGGTGAAAGAGAAGTGACTCCGCCAGTCTGTGGGAGAGCTAGGAACAGAACCCAGGAGTCCTGGCTCCAACCCTGTACCTCAGATTATCCTTTAAAACCCTACTTGACTCCTGGAGAAAGTCAAGAAAAAACAGGGCAGATTTCAGAGGCCCTAAGTATGATCTAGTTGTCAGAGCACAGGGCCTGGGAGCCAGGACTCTTGGGCTCTCTGATCTCCACCTGTGAAGTAGGCCAGGGGCTCACGGTCACTGATCACTTCTCCCAGCTCTAGGGGAGGACATAGTCGCTGTGTAAGCAGTTTAGCACAGGAAGTGAGGGATACCTTATTCAACTGATGCTTCAAAGGGAGTTGTGGGGGGCACACTATTCATGGTGGAATGCAGCCAGGACACCAAAGTTTCAATCCCAAAAAGCACCATGGGATCTTTAAACCAAGATCCTAGCAATTCATGGTTACTAAAAACCCCACCCCAGGGACTTGGATGAAAGCCAGAGCCCTGCCTCAGAACAGCTCCTGCTGTCACCATGCTGAAATATGGGTTTGGTACTGACAGAGAAAGACTTCAGCTATTCCGGCTGAACAACCAACCCCCCTTTCTGGCAGTGACTAAACTGCTCCTGGGGGCTCCCATGCAGGTTCCGACCTTGTGCTGCATGAGCCAAGGGGAATTATTGGTATCTTGAATACACGAATGGGTTAACCATGCTTGAAATTTAAGAGAAACGAAGAAAAGGCGCTTTAAAAATGTAGTGCCATTTAATACTCAAGGACGATCTATCAAAACCCCCAGGACCCTGTTTCCCAAATGGAGTCATTTTACTGGTTCTGCTTCTTCTAGCAAAAGCTCCAGGGTGTTCCAGTTTTCAAATTCTTCTTCCAATCTGTCCTTGTCTGACACATCTTCACCTCTCCTCACCCAAAATATCCTCCCTGTCTGCACTGGAAATATGGTTCCAAGGCCACGGGTGACATGCGGGAGCCAGGCAGGGTGTGTGTAAAGTTCAGGAATGAAGATTTATTGATCTGAGATCCAAAAAGTGAGGTAAATAGCAAGAAGCCGGAGGAGCAAACCTGAGAAAAATCCTCTTAGGAAGCCATGAGTCACAGGACCTACATTTATACCAATTCATTTTATAAGAAGAGAGCAGCTTCTCTCAATGAAGAGATCTTTGCCATCGCAGTTTCTCCTGCAAGATTTCCTCCCTGGCACTCTGAGCTCTGCTGCGCTGGCTTTTCTCTCGATATTTCTTCTCCTCCAGCAGCACTGAAGAGGTCAGAAGTTCCTCTTTAGCTCGAGGGTCCTGATTCAAGTTCTCACCCAGATCCCTGAAAATGTCGGGGCTCCCAATCTGGAGGAGAGCTCAGGAGAGATGATTCCAGTACATTACATCTACTTCCATCTTGAGCCATTGTATTAGGACCTCTTTGCACTGCTCTGTGCAGATAACGCCTTGCTGGTGGCAGGACGATCTGTGTTCTTCTCCCCAGATAGTTGCTTCAGTTCCTTCTCCAGGCTGGTGACCTGAGCTGTTGACTGAAGTAAGCCAAGGCCTCCTGGTGTTTGCAGTCAGGCAAAATAGAAAAGCCCAGCTTTCAAAACTGTACACTGCTAAATGCTGTACCAGATAAGGAGCAAACTTTATTATGGTTTGTGGAACAGATTCTTGTAAACAGATATACTGGGAAACTAAGTCTCACAGACAGAATGGTTAACAAGTAAGGTAAATGGCTTTGCTAACTGAATTAGAGGCATTCAGCTCACAAGCAAGATATAGCACTCAAAGTATGGGAATTGCTAATGTAGCTAGAAGTGTGATTTAGAAAAAGTTATGTTATCAAAACAAGGAAGTAAATGAGTATAGTGCATTGTACTTAAGCTTGGCAGAAATCAGTTTTTATTTTTTATCAATTTAAATCTTCACAGCTACCCAGAATTCAGGGTTTTAAGCATTTCTTCCCCTGCCATTCCTCCCCCCCCATTTTTATTTCTTTCCATTTTCCCAATCATAGGAAATTACAGGGGGTATCAGCCAATGATTTAATGACAGCAGATGTTGAGATTCAAGTTAAAGCTTTTTAACTGTTCAAACACAGATTGTCAGCATCACGTGTAAATATCATTAAATCGTACTTCACGTTCTCAAGCAGCATTTTCTTACTCTGCCAGATTTCAATTACTGATGGAAAATTTGTCGGTTTGTGTCTGGATGCTGAAATCAAATTCTATCGACAAATCTAATCCTTCCAGGCCTAATTATATTTTAGAATACTGGATTAGAACACTAAAACTGAACTATAGTTAGGGGCTGCAACCTTTGCATGACCCTTTCTCTGTATACAACAGAAGAATAAGAAATACAGTCAACTCTCTAGTCTTTAGATATTCTGCTACGCTTGGCAACTATAGACACTTTGGTTTTACAAAATATGTATGGAGTCAGATAAGAGAAAGGTAAGGATTTGAATATTATATAAAACATATGATATTGGCTAACAAATACAATTCATAGTTAAGCTCCTCCAAAATGCTTTTTACTTATGTTACATTGTTTAATCAAGGCGAAATGTGAAATTACAATCTCAGTGTTCAGAAACATTCCAAAGAAGAAGAACAAACAATTTTGCTGATGCTTAGCTAACATACCCTATGCACCAAGCTATAGCTGACGCAGGATGTCTCTAAGGCTTTGCTGACTTTTGGAATGCAATGGTCTAAACAAGATAATAAACTAGTTACAAGTTTACTACAGGGCTTGTGCTAACCTTGCAAAAGGTTTGCAAAACCATATCACAGATAACAAACAAGTAGTAATGCAAAGAAATAGTGACACCCTTATTCCTAGTACCTATAGAAGCAGAGTGCTGCTTAGATTTTGAGAGACAGCTGGCCAACTGCATTCCACCTCTCTGGGAGGTGGTAATGTATTGTTCTTTCCTTCACAGGTTTGGGTACCCTCACTGTTCTGCCAGAGGGGAGAAGGAAGCTCTCTAAGAGCCACTGCATTACTGCAGAATAGTCGGGGCACAAGCACAACCTCGCCATGTCCCCTCTGCCCTAGCAGCTTCTTGTTGGGTCTGCTCTGCATCTGGTGTATAAGGCCCCTGCTCTAGGGATAGTCTTTGATGTAGGAAGCCAAAGTGGTTGCAGAGGAGGGATGAATTCCCACCGCAGTCTTATCTCCTCCTGGTCCAGATGCAGTGCTATAGCTCTGCACCTTCACACTTGTGATGCTGCTTCCCGAAGCCCCCCTGCTCCCTTTCGGATCCAGAGAGAGGGAGCTGCCATCCAAGAGAAGTTTCCCCACATCTCCTTCAGGGCCCTAGAATTAGACATCTCGCTGCAGAGAAAGCTCTGCGATTCTGGCCAGTTTCCACGCAAACCCAGGCCAAATTTGGTTGGTTTTAACTCGAAGTTCAAACCAGGCCCCACAGACTGAACCTAGAAGCTCAGACCTACATGAAATGAAAAGACTTCTCGTGAACCAAAACAGCCGATATTCTCCTGTATCTTCCCCAGTGCTCTCAGATCCCAGCTTGAATCAGAACAGGAAATGCTAAGGCACTGTATGAAATAACTGGACATTGGTCCCCAGGATGTAAAGTTCAGACCCAGAGTCAAACTTTAGTGAGTAGAGGGTAGAAAAGGGTTTCAGAGACAAGGTTTTGGTTCAGACCTAATACATAAAATAAAGTGATTCAGGCCAGGCAGAAAATGCTTGATCAACTTGAATTTCAAAACATTACTCACATGAGCCCTGTTTTGACCATTGGTTTTAACTACTGGCATTAGCATCAACCACACCTTGATTAGTATTTACTTCTTGGATCAGTATTTTGATATTGATTTCAGCACACGTCAATGAACATATGTGGTTACATTACGGACTGTCAATACCAGATGATCCAACAGGGAAGCCAGAACCTGGTATCAGTGAGTTCAGTGTGACGACACTTGCTCTGGAACGAGTCATGTTCTGGAGCATGCATGAAATGCAGCGTACGGCACCTGTTCCTCAGCCCTGGTCCGTTAATTCCTGTCAAACTTGTTCTCCAGGCAAAAACAATGCATCAGACTCAGGGGGTCAGATTTTCGCGTGTTGATCACCCACAACTGGAGTCGGATTTTCAGAAGTGCTCAGCATCCAGCAGTGCCCATTGTAACACTTCGGGAAAAATCTGCCCCTAAGAGCTGCTCTAAGCTCTTTTGAAAATTTGGCTCCGATTGCGGGTGCCAAGCCCTTGAAAACTTTATCCACATCCTTATCAGAAGGATGTGGATAAATTGGAGAGAGTCCAGCGAAGGGCAACAAAAATGATTAGGGGCCTAGAACACATGACTTATGAGGAGAGGCTGAGGGAGCTGGGATTGTTTAGCCTGCAGAAGAGAAGAATGAGGGGGGATTTGATAGCTGCTTTCAACTACCTGAAAGGGGGTTCCAAAGAGGATGGCTCTAGACTGTTTTCAATGGTAGCAGATGACAGAACGAGGAGTAATGGTCTCAAGTTGCAGTGGGGGAGGTTTAGATTGGATATTAGGAAAAACGTTTTCACTAAGAGGGTGGTGAAACACTGGAATGCGTTACCTAGGGAGGTGGTAGAATCTCCTTCCTTAGAGGTTTTTAAGGTCAGGCTTGACAAAGCCCTGGCTGGG